CCCTGTGACTGCAGTTCAATTACTCACTATCTACTCACACGCATTCCCGTCACGTTGTCACCCTCTTATATATACCAGGCTACCCCATCTAGTAAATGCTAGGGCATTCGTGAAGGAACAAGATAGTTCTAGAAACTAGAGGGCGTGAGAATAGTCACGTGATCTCGATGACGCAACAGTCTTTTCATGTAAACAGTATTAAAATTCAGTTTCGTTTTGAGTTTACTTAATAATTATTGATTATAAACATTATTCTGTTGCAAGTTACAGTTTTTACACTCAAATATATATAATTTACAGTTACAAATGATCTTTTTAAAACAGGTGCGACAGTGGTGCGATCATTCACAAGTACAGAAGTTTTAACAGTAAAGAAGATTTTAATGTTTAAATCGACATTGAACAATCTAACAATGTAATTGTTTTTTTTTAAGACTTAAAATGTAGAAAAATTAATATGTAGAATTATACAAGGACTTTTCTTTACGTTGAAATACTTTTATTTGCGAGCTTTCGGTTTTCTTACAGGAGTCTTCATCGGACAACAATGTACTGAGCAATACATTTTTGTCCGATGAAGGTTCCAATAAAAGAGTCGAAATCTCGCAAATAAAAGAAAAGTGTTTTAATGTAGAGAAAAGTCCGTGTATAACTAATTCTACATACAATCCAACAATGTACATTTTATTGCAATTTACAGCTTTTACAGTAAGTAAGATTTGTTTTTAAAACAGGTACGTTTCGATTACTGGTGCAATCATTCTCAAGTACCACCGCGCTAGTGTTGCGTCAGCGAGGTCACGTGACTAGTATCACGCCACGTCCTTCTCGAACCTTCGTGAATTATCGGGAGACTACTAGATTGGGGGCAGTCTGGTATATATAAGATGGTCACAACGTGACGGAACAATGAGTAATTGAACTGCAGTCAGAGAGTGTGTAATTGAACTGAGACGTGAGTTATAGCGTTTGTTATAGAGCGACTGTTGAAATTAAGTGTATCGTAACGTTGTATTCGGAAAGAATAAACCAGTTTTATTTAAGAAAGGACTTGTGTCGCTAAAGTTTCGTCGGAACGAATTTACGGAAAATTAACGAACGAACGGAGACGTAACACTAGGAAACATTTACAAAATAAAGTGTAACAACTGCCCAGCCTTTTACACAGGTGAAACAAGACGTGACTTCAGCATCAGGTTAAAAGAACACCAGTAACTCCTTCCCAAGTCCATGAACATATGAACAAAAACAACCACAGATTTTCTGAATATAATTCCACCATACTACAATATGAACCTTATACAAGAAATATCAGAGAAACCTTATTAATAAAATCTAACGATCCCATAACTATCAAATACGCACGCACACCTCTGTATATCTTTGATCGTTATTTCCCTAGACAATCCTAATCTTATGGAAATATTTCGCACAACATTTCCACATTTTCATATTTATTCACTTTTATTTTTTGTTCAGCTATAAATAAATAACTTGTCAATTCACGCTGATTGATATGCACATGTATAAGTAACCACAACCAATTCCAAAATGTAAATATGTTTTTAAATTTTCAATGGCACCCCAGTGGTACAGTGGTATGTCCACGGACTTACAACGCTAGAATCCGGGTTTCAATACCCGTGGTGGGTAGAGCACAGATAGCCCATTGTGTAGCTTTGTGATTAATTACAAACAAACAAATAAAAAACTCCAACGAAGACGACAAACAACTTCAGATAACTTTTATTTATTCTACCTGACGATTCAGCTTACGCCTTTTTCAAGAGTCTACGAACGCCATAGGTTATAAAACAGATTATAAATTATACTAACCGAAAAGAATATAAAAGTACAATATATTGGAACGGTGCACGGTGAAGCATATTAAAAGCATTGTTGAACGGATTAGTGTCGCTGACCATAAAAGTACACGTTAAAAAGTAAATAAAATAAATAAGTAACAGTATTATAGGAGCCAGTTATTGTATCTATTAATGGAAGGGCGTTTGGGCTGAATCAAAAGAAATTCTTTAAATTTTCTGCCAAGAAAGTTGTCACAAATCTCTAATAATTATGTCGTGTGCGTTAAGGTAATGGTGGCTTTTTTGTTGTCGAGATTTGCAGTGGCACGATTGTGTTATTTGAGATAGTCATGTATTGACGACTGATTTACCTACGTGTCTAAATACTGTGTATATGTCATTTAGTAGACGGTGTTCCTAAGTATGCAAGATTTCTCTAAGCCTTTGGTTTTAGCAAAACATTGTTTTTTATCTGTATGTACTGTTGTTATTGAAGACTGAGCGAGGAAGCATATCCTTTAGTTACTTACCGGGTTTTTGTGAGATATATATGTGGATATCCAAACCAGAACTTATATTCGCTTATATACTTATAAACGAAGATGAGTAGTTAAAGATTTATCCACGAATGGCATAATCCATGAGACAGTGTTTTGATGTGGTGGCTTCTTCTTCTTCTTCTCCTTTTTTTTTGCCGTCGTTAAAATCGTATTTGTCGAAATTGGGGAATGTCTTAGTAATGTAGCTAACTGGATATTCATTGAACAGTAACAGGTTTTGAAATTTCGTTCTCTCTTGCGTCTTACTGCCCATGGTATTGCTGATTTTACCAATCCTATTATTGTATTAAGTTGATTGATAATGACACCCCGTTTAGTAACTGATGGATGGTGTGTGTTATAATGTAGAATAATGGGTTTAAGACATGGTTTGGAATATATGATAGTAATAAGTTTGCTGTTTTCAATTGTGACTATGGCATCAAGAAAGGGTATAGACTTCTGAACGTTA